CCATTGGTTATCCAGTGGACCTCATCATGGAACACTCCTGCTCAGGACCTCTTCCAGCATGTGCTGCTTCTCAGCCTTGGTAAGGTCTCTGGAGAGGTCTTCTTCCCCCTCCTCCTCTTAGGTGGCAGCCATTCTGTGTCTATTATCTACTTTTTCTTTCTTTGTTAACTTTGTTTTTATTTATTCTTTGTGTCTTTTGCATCACGTATCTCATTCTCATTTGTCCCCTGCCCCTGTGTATCTACCCTCTGTCCTTGCGTCACCCCACTCCCCATAAAATTCAAGAAAGAAAAGAAAAAAAAAAGAAAAAAAAAAAGAAAAAATCTTGTCATGGAAGCTGTAGTGTGACATAGTGAGTCACGAAGTAAACCCCTTTGTTCATGTATCTTTATTTGCAAGTGTGCATTGCAAAGAGTCTGGCCATGCCCCTTGCTCTTGGCAGCAAAGGGTGAATTTGCCAGGACAATGCAGGAGAGCTCACCTTGGTGGTGAGGACAAGAGAGAGCTGGCAGGCTGACCAACCCTGAAACTACCCAGGCCCAGAACCAAGGTTATGGGTTGTCCCACCCCAATATCCACCCCATCTGTGATCTGCTGGAGCATATGAAGGTACTGGTCCTGTAGACCCAAATCTACTTTTTCTTATTTATCCTGTTGTTATTGTTTTGTTACTCCCAGGGTGGATCTGGTGGTCCATCTGTTCAGTGATAGCTTAGTGCCAGGCTGAAGGGAACCGTAGACCCTTGTGAACGGGTGGGAAAGCAGTGGGCTGCTGTACAAATGGTTTTAAGTGGTGACCACATGATTTTAGTGCAATTTGTCAGGTTGGCAGGTGCACAGAAGCAGTTATCCCCATCCTTACTTTACTCCAGCAACTCTTCCCTTTTTATTGCTTTGCTGGAATCAGTAGCTTGGGCTTGAGTGATAGAATGCACTACTATCAGCTCTGCTGCTTTCATGCTTCCTCCAGAGCCAGGAAGACAGAACCTTCTCAGAGGACACTTATGTTAACAGAGCCAGAATTGAAGTTTTAGGTTTTATTAGTTTTGAAGACAGTAAAGACATTGTCTCACACAGTTAGTGATTGACGAGCGCACCCCCACACCTCCACTGCTGTGTGGCATGCTGCTGAGTGTGTGTATGTAAGTACACTACTTCTCTAAGGCTTTGTCTCAGATGAATTTTATGATCTTAGCTTCTAATACTCACGGAAGTTCTTGCTGTATAAAGTTAAAAAATGGGGTGTCCTGTGTGTCTCTGATAAAGTTTATGGTTTTTAAAAAAATTTTAATACTGTGACAGGGTCTCATGCATAATACTGGCTAGCCTGGAACTTGCTGTGTAGAGGAAACTAGTCTATATATGGTTGTGAGATAGCTTGTGGCTGCTGGGAATCCAACCTGGGTCCTCTGGAAGAGCAGCCAGTGCTCAGAACCACTGAGCCATCCCTCCTGCTTACAGTTTTCTAATTTTAGTGAGTAGGTGAAAAACATATGAGAGATAAATACTGTACTGTATGATCTCTTCCTTTTAGCTCTAAAATAACAGCTTGTGCATAAAGATGTATTTGCTGTGTCTCACTCTGTGTTTAAAATCCATGCCCTTGTAAGCTCCTGAGAATACTACAAAGTATAATCCTTTAAGCCTTAAAATATCTAATTTAGATGCATGTAGATTTTGTTATATGAACTTTTGAAGTATTTGGTTAATACTAAAATAGAAAAAACATAAATGTATTAAAATAAAGTATGTAATATATGCTTTGTTTGGATATTTAATTTTGGGGTTTTAGTTTTTTGAGTCAATATAACACATGGTCTTAAAACAATAAACTGCAGAGCCTGGGGTGTCATATACTTGAGTGTGTCACACTGCATTATTGAGTAGTTTATCTTTCAATTTAGATTCTTGAAGACTTGGATGAACAAATATATATGATTACCCTAGAAGAAGAAGCACTCCAAAGAAGACTACATGGTATGTTTGTCACATAGTTAGAGCAGGTAGAAAAACTAACTCAACAGAGACAGACAATTGAAGAGTGGCTTATAAGTGACAAAGGAGCTTCCTGATAAAGGGAGTTTATGAGAATTTGAGGGAGATGGGCCAGGGCCACATGGCTGACTCTCCTGGAGGAAGTGGCCCCTTGGACATCTGCACTTAAAAGGTACTGCAGGTCTGCACACTGCTTCAGTGACTTGGGCCTGCTTTTTTCCTTTCTGTTGAGAGCTGAAGGTAAGAGTAGCCTTTCTTAGGAGATCCCTAGGAGCACTGTTAACTCGGGTAGCCTTTATACCAGCCTTGGGTTAGTCCTGTACCATTGGAACTGCTCTGGCTGGCAAGCTGCCTTTAAAATGATTTTAGGGAAACTCCTTAATCATGTGTTGCTGTGATTGGTAACTGTCGGCTATTTCAGGTGGAAACTAATAGGCTGAACTGTTTATTATATAAATGATTCGAGGGCCAAGTTGATATTTGACTCTATTAAGAATTGTAAGCTTCTGTGGTTAGTTGGCTAATGTCTGCAGAGGGAAAAAAGTAAGAAGAAAAGAACATTTCATAATTTGCTATTTTAAACTTTACACACACACACACACACACACACACACACACACACACACACACACACGTATGTATGTGCAAAAATAAGATGTATGTCTGTGTACTATGCATTCAGTCCTCATGTATGACAGAAGGCAATGGATCTCTTGGAACTAGAGTTACAAATGGTATGAGCTGTTACTTGGGTCCTCTGGAAGAGCAGGAAGTGCTCTTAACCACTGAGCCATTTCTCCAGCCCCAATAATTTGCTGCTTTTAGGAAAGAGTAGAAGGTAGGCCCTTAGTAAGTTAAGTCATCCTCATAGATGTCATTAAATATGATATAATGTTAAATGTATTTTTTGTAGCAGTTATTTTATATCTTAAATTACAAAGCAAAAGTATGTCTTACCCTTGCTCTGGGAAGAATTACAGAACAGCAAGAGTGTCAGACTCTAAAAATGCACTCATGATGCTGCTTTGTGGAACTGACGGTGGCATTTTACTAATGGTTCATCAGTGTGTGGGCTGTGGGGTGTTATTACAGGCAGCTTTGGGATATGTGTTCTCTCCAGTGCATTCTTATAGTGAGTGCCCTGAAGAGAGTCTACACTTGGCTGGTGGGAAGAAGGACTTTGCTGTAAGGCTAACACATGATTTACCTTGAAGGTAGCATGACATGTTATGGTGAGCACTCTGTAGTAGCATGGAGTTTCTGTGTCCCTTTAAATGTATTAGTGTAGCTGAAACATGGGATGCCTGACTGTGACTTCTCCAGTGTTTTCTGACACCTGACAGTGCTGTTGTAAAAACTGTTGAGTGGTTTTGTTCTTTTTCATAAATCATGTTAATGAAGTAGCAAAGCCCTGCTTGTTTACACTATCAGTGCCCTGAGGAAGCCATTCTGTCCTGAGCTATTATTCCCTTTCTCTTCCTGGTTTTGGATCAGATGTGCAGATGAATTAAGACTGTCTCAAGATGATAGACTAGTTGATTGATGGAGAATAAATAAATAAGCAATAAAAATGAATAAGGCTTAGTGCCCAAACACATAGAGAGTAAGAGGGATACACAGAATTCTACATATGTGGTTAAGGCAGCTACTGCCTGATGCCCCCTCTTAATTAGCAGGAGTAGAGGTTCAGCTTTTGAATTCCCTGTGATCCTGACAGAACCTCATTCTATTCCTGTCTCCCTTGATGCTGCCTGGAGACTCAAGGCAAAGAGTGTACTTAGCCCTCACTCTCTGTGACAGGTGACAGTAGATGAGTCCAGTGTCTGGACTTGTGACCCTGCATCACTGTCTTATTTCTGACTCAGTTTCCCCTTTCTCTAGCTCCTGTAACTTTTGCATGTGTTGCTTTTATCTGAAGATTAGGTAATACACTTGTGACTCTTATATTCTCCCCCCTCCTCTTTCTGTTCTCCCCATCACCGTTGTGTGGTGACTGTCTTCCTACAGTTTGCCTTCTTTCTGGGGGTGGCTGGTACATTGTGCAGTTCTGTTGTGTTCTTCCCCACATGTTATCCTTTTCCCCTTGCCAGACATCCTGCTTTCTCCTCTTCAACCCTTTGATCTCTTGTGGTCCTGCCATCTCTGCTACCAGACAATCCCTTCTTCTCCTGTTCTAGTAGCTCCTCATTCCCCAGAACTCTCTGTTCTAATGGCACTCTCTGATCTGTGATTTTTTTCTATGCTTGTTATGGCCTTTTCAGCCTTTTGGGAAGTTTCTTGACCCTCCTTTCTGGTGTGCTATCTGCCTGTAACATCTTGGCATTGCCCTCCTTGGTGATCCAATGCCTGCACATTTCATACTTTCGCATCGCTACTCCAAGCCAACCCTGCTATTTCTTCAGGTCTTTCCTGTCAACCTCCATTTCCCACAGTTCTTCAGTAGAGACCCAGCATGCTACTCTCTCAGTAACCTGCATCCCATCCCCCTCATACCCACGCTTCCTTGCCCAGGCTGTATTGCCTGGCCAGGGTTAGAAGTGGAGCCTGGCTGTGTGCTTTCTTAGGCTCTTGCCTGTGTTCCGGGGCTGTGCTTGTCTGGTGAAGCTCAAGCCTGTTACCGCCTGCTCTTTCTGAATTTTGTGCGCACTCCTAAGTGTGTGCCTGCTCTCTCTTCCAACATGTGACCATTTCTTAAGTTATATCATCCTACCCTTCTCTTTCCTCATTCCAAACCCTCCTTGCTGTCTTTCAAACTCATGGCTATTTTCATTGATTGCTGTTATATACATGTATGTATATGTATGTATATATATATTCATAATTACAACCTACTCAGTCTGTGTAATTTACTTGTATGTTTGTTTTCAGGGCTAACCATTTGGTGTTGGCTAACTACTTGGCATGCTCTTCCCTGGGTAAGACTATTTCTCCCACTCTCAGCCTTACTTAGTTGCTTGTAGTTCTTTGTGTAGGGCAATAAGGAAAGAGAAGGAAATTAAAGAGATACAAATAGGAAAAGAAGAAGTCAAACTATCCCTGTTTGTAGATGACATGATAGTACACATTAGAGATCCCAGAAATTGTATCAGAAAATTTCTAGAGACAATAAACAAATTCAGCAATGTGGCAAGATACAGAATCATCTTGTACAAATCAACAGCTTTTTTATATACCACCAACAGACATACAGAGACATACTCTCTGTCTTAGTTTTGTTCTGTTGCTGTGAAGAGACACCGTGACCAAGGTAACTGTTGGAAGAGAAAACATTTAATAGGGGGTTTGCCTTTGGTTTTAGAGGTTTGATGCTGTCAGAGCGGTGGGGAGGATGGTGGCGTGCAGGCAGTAACGGGTGCAGTGGCTGACAGCTACACCCATAGGCAGTGGCGGGGGAGGGGGACAAGAGCCAGGTGCACATGGGGGCCTGGGCCTGATGTGGGCTTCTGAAACCTCACAGCCACCCCAGTGACACACCTCCTCCAACAAGGCCACACGTCCTCATCCTTCTCATACTTTCAAACAGTTCCACTCCCTGGTTAAGCATTCAAATATATAAACCTGTTTGGGCCATTTTTTAAAAAAAATATTTATTTTTTTATTTTTAAAACAATCTCTCCCTCCTGACCTCCCACTTCTCCCCAGCCTTCCTTCCCCAGAGGCCTCCCATGGGGAACCATCAAAGTCTGTCATGTCATTTGGGACAGGACTGAGGTCCTCCTCTCTGTATCTGGGCTGAGAGAGTGTCCCTCCATAGGGAATGGGCTTTAAAAAGTCAGTTCATGCACTGGGGATAAATACTGTTTTCACTGGGAGTGGCCCCATAGACTGTTCAAGCCTCCCAAGTGACACCCATGTTCAGGGGACCTAATTCATTCCTGTTCAGGTTCCCCAGCTGTCAGTCTGGAGTCTGTGAGCTCCCACTTGCTCAGGTCAGCTGTTTCTGTGGGTTTCCCTAACATGGCTTTTCCCCTTAGCTCATCACTCCTCCCTCTCTACAACTGGATTCCAGGAGTTCATCTCAGGGCTTTTTTGTGGTTCTCTGCTTCTGCTTCCATCAGCTACTGGATGAAGGCTCTAGGATGGCATTTAAGGTAGTCATCAATCTCATTATAGGGGAAGGGCATTTAAGGTAGCCTCTCCACTATTGCTTAGATTCTTAGTTAGGGTCATCCCTGTGGATTCCTGGGAATTTTCCTAGTGCCAGGTTTCTCATTAAGCCCATAATGGCTCCCTCTATCAAGGTATCTCTTTCCTTGCTCTCTCTCTGTCCTTCCCCCAACCTGACCTTCCTGGTCCCTCATGTTCTTCTCACTCCCCTTCTCTCATCCTCTCTTTCCTATCTCCCCACCCACGTGCTTCCAATTTACTCAGGAGATCTTGTCCATTTCTCCTTCTGTGTGTAAGGCGGTCCATGTATGTCTCTCTTAGGGTTCTCCTGGTTTCCTGTCATCTCTGGGGTTGTGGATTGTAGGCTGATTATCCTTATCCTCATAAGTGGATATGTCTAATATCCACTTATGAGTGAGTACATACTGTATTTGTCTTTCTGTATCTGGGATACTTCACTCAGGATGGTTTCTTCTAGTTGCATCCATTTGCCTGTGAATTTCAAGATGTCATTTTTTTTTTCTGTTGAGTAATACTTCATTGTGTAAATGTACCAAATTTCTTTATCTATTCTTCAGTTGATGGGCATCTAGGTTGCTTGTAGGTTTTGACTTTTGCAAATAATGTTGCTATGAACAAGCTGAACAGACGTCCTTGTGGCATGATTGTGCATCCTTTGGCTATACGCCCAAGATATATGGTATTGCTGGGTCTTTCGATAGATCAATTTTCAGTTTTCTGAGGAACTACCATACTGATTCCAAAGTGGCTGTACAAGTTTGCACTCCCACCAGCAATGCAGGAGTATTCCTACGGGGACCATTTTTTTTTCAAACTACCACACTTCTATTCACAATAACTTCAAAGAAGATAAA